TTGTTTTTCCTCATGGGTTTTCGCCTTTTCTTTCATTGCTACCTTGGAGACTTCTTGTATTTCTGTAGATTCAGTTTTCATATCTGGTGAAAGTATCCTTTTTGAGTCTTCTGAGCCCTCTTCTATAGAGGTAGGGGTGGGACTTTCTGTGTTTTCAGGTTTTTTTGTACTGAGCTGTTCTCATTTGTTTCCATAGTATTCTCATGCATATTGTCTCAGTTCGAGTGATTCATGAAATTGGGTGCATTCTTTTTTTATATGGCCCTCCTAATCGCAGAAATAGCAAACCTTTAGTGCTAATTTCCATTCTGTAGAAACCTTATTGTCCCATACATGTGTGAAACGAGGAAGCCGGGATTCGAGATCCGGGTTATTGGTTGTTTCAAAGATCACTATCCATTGATCGGATGCGTATGAGGTTCCCTCGATTAATAGTAGTTTGATGGTGGCAATTTTTCTGAAGCTCCTAAAGGCGTCCATCAAAGCACTCAAAACTTCTTCTTTAATGCCTAAAGGTACATTTCTACATCTAACTGGCAAAAAGGATTTTCTGCCATCTGTAGGGATATATCCATAGTATATCCTGTTAAAGATAATGATTCCCTCTGAGGCATAGTAATTTCTTTTTTTAGCATCCGTGAATGCCACTTCTAAGTGGGTACGAGATCCTTTTGTGAGGTATTGTTTAGCAGCACTAACATCATTTTTAACTTGTTCAAACAGTGAGGTCATAATTTCATTGAACGAGGCCTGAATTCCTTGTATATCAAATATGAGGACATTTTCATTGTTCGATCTAATATTCTGTCTTGGAGAGAAGGATGCATATGTGGAGCATCCTCTCTTTAAGCGTTGGAAAAGAGAGGCCCATGTTTTTTCTTGTCTAGCTAGGCTGGTTTCTTTGGCTTTGTCCTTATCTTTGTTCGACTGCGGTTGGGCAACACTTTCCTCAAGCGAGATATCTGTGTTTTCTGCACAGTCATCATTTAGAACGTGTCTTTGTTTTGATGTTTCTTTGTTTACTTCGGCTATTTCACTAGATATACGTGTTGGTATGTGTTCTTCTTCTGTATTCTCCTCTGTACAGTCTTTTAACACCTGTAAGTCTTGCTCCACCTTGTCATCCCAGGTTAAAGCAGTGCTTGTCACATCTTTCTGGCATGTCTTATCATTTTCACTCTGACTTGAGATACTGTGTGGAGGTGTCTTTTGTATTGGTTTCTCTTGGTTTTCTTTTTCGACCAAGTCAGTTGTTTTCGCTTTTTTTTTATTTTTCCCCATACTGCCTTTACAAGTGGGTTCTGGAGGTGTTTTTCTGCGTCTTTTTTTCCCTGCAGTGAGGGCAAAAGCCCCTATTTCCTTGTTGTCCCGAGACTTACTTGTGTGAATATTCTTATATATTGTGCCTTGTTAATATTTACTCTTCCTTGACTGATGTGGTTGAGAGAGAGTATATGTAGATCTTTTATCTATAAAGTTTTAATTACAACTGATACATAGTTATTATATAAACTAATCTTTTCTAACAATTACTTTGCATTAGATTAATGACAAATAGCAATTAAGACATATATTACTTGACTTTATTCTGTTTTATGAACAATACACAGAAAGGTTTCTGGCTAATACAATATTTGAAATAATTAAGGATTTTAGATTAGGAAAAAAATTATTATTAGTAACTACTAACAATGCTAATAATATAGATATTTGTGATTAGCAGCTTGCTAGTATATTAAAATTTTATTATAATAATACTAGTTTTTACCAATTATGATATATAGCTTATATACTAAACTTTATTATTATAAATAGACTTTCTGAAATAAATAAATTAACTAAGATATAAAATTTTGCTAGTACAATTTGTTGCTCTCAACTATATTTAGAAGAGTTAAAAAAAATTTTTTAATAAAAAACAAACTATTTTTAATTCCTAAACTTGACTGCGAAACTAGATGAAATTTGCTATATTTGATAATAAATAAACTATATAAAATTTGAGAAATGACAAATATATTAGTAGTTTCAATACTCTAGCTTAAACGTTTATATATAATTGATTAAGACTGAGATAATATTAAAACTGAATAATACTTCTAAATCTATCTATAAAGCTATGAAATTACTTTCCTTATCAAGTCACTTTACTATTAGAGATGTATATATAGTTTTTTTTATAATAATAAATTATTTAGCTAAAGCTAAAGATACAATAGATCCAATGAAATTGCATATCTCAAAAAAATATTAAAAAACTTAATAAATATTGAAATAAATTAAAATCTACCTTTTTAAAAGCAGTATTGCTTGATTCTTTATCCAAATTCTCTACTTATAGTTTTAATTTAGAATAAGAAAATGTTCATCAAATAATTAATAAGGTCTGCTAAAATTATACACCTTCTCTTGTTAAAAATACAAATAAACAAATTTTAGAATCTAATTAGTTAATTTTAGCTTGCAACTATAGTCGCACCCCTAAGTGCACACCCCCTAAGTGCAAGTACTATGTAAAACCTCTCTAAATGCACGATCTAGGTTGGCCCCAACTTATAAGAATCCTATATATTTTACTCTCTATAAATGCAAACACTCTCTAAGTGCAAAATTTTAATTTTTTTCACTATGATCCTGATGGGATGCACTTAGAGAGGTGTGACTGTACTTCTAAACCTAATTAAAACAAATTTATAATAATATGTCATGTAATAATAATATATTAAATAAGTATTATATTTAAATATGTCTGATAAAAATATAGATATTCTCTCATATTGAAAATCAAAATCTGTAAATTTATAGTAGTCATTTCTTGTCAATATAGCTTACAATTACCTAGTTGCACAAGCAACTAGTGTTCCAAATAAAGAGATTTTTTTGATTACCAAGCATATATTAAATATAGTAAAAAACTAATTAGATAATGAAAAGATACATGCAAGTTTTTGTCTTAAGACTTGGTATGATTTGGAAATAATAAAAAATAAAAATAAAAAATAAAATTTAGATAGTTATAAATACTGTATTCTGTATATGGGGACCTTTATAGCAAAAGGGGACAGTGGGGCAAAAATTTTGATTTTGTAATTTTATAAATATTGGTTTTCTATCAATTTAATTTTTCAAGAAATCAATTAAAAATAAAAAAAATTTTTTTGGCCCACTGCCCCCTTTTGCTGTGGAGGGTTCTATATATTTTATATATATATATATATATACTGTTGAACCTCTTAAAATCGATCCTCTTAAAATGATAACCTGTCAAATCTGATAAAAAATTAGTCTACCAAGTCTATTTCTATTATATAAATCTAATAGTTTATAATAATTTCAAATCTGATAACCTCTCAATACTGATACAAAATTTGTTACTATGTGTACTGGGTTTGGGAGGTTCAACAGTATATATAAATATTATATAATAAATAAATATTTAGTATTTGGTATTATTAAATTATATATATGTATAATAAACTGCTTAAGTTAGACTAGTGTTAAACCGGTTTAGTACCAAGATATAAACTAGTTCCTAACTAGTTTAGGACCAGATTTTTTAAAAACCAAACCGGACAGGACCTGCCCAAACTTTTAATATTTCTAATTAGAAGCCCTAATGAAATATAGTCAAGAATTATATTAACTAATTTAAAAATATAACTCAAAATTCTGTTTAAAAAATCTTAACTTTATTAATATTTGCTATAAAAGTTTTTAATATATTTATATTTTTGAAGCTACTTAAAAACTTAACTAAAGTTTGGAACTAGTTTTATTTTTTATATGCTAAAACTAATTAAAAATTAGTAATTATATAAAAAATTTTTTGTAATTTAGAATATATTATGTTGATTATAAATTAAAATAGTCTTAATACTAGCTAAATTAAATGGTTAACAATTAGAAAAAAAAGATAATAGCTAGTTTAATATATAAAAAATAATCAAATATATCTAATATATAAAATATTTTTTTTTAGTGTTAAGGTGATCTCTATAGCCAGGGGCTTTTTATTAGATAATTAACAATGTTTACAATTATGATGAGAGTATAACTAGCCACACGTACAACTTTT